CCCTCCAGCTGTCTTGTCTCTGTTCCATCTGTCACAGCATGACATTGGTTCTCAAGCTGCTCCTTGCAGTTAGAGCAACCAAAGTGCCTTGGCAGAGGGCGAGATTCTAGTCCTAGATCCCCATGTCTGCCTGGCACATTGTCCAATGAGCGTTGCACAGCCGTGGGGCACTGGGCGGCAGAGAGGGGAGCTCAGGTCCAGGCGCAAGTGACTGCAATATTAGTTAGTGTTTTGCAACCTGCAAACGCCCCCACTGATGCTGGGGGGAAAAACCCTGAGGGGGGATCTCACAGGGGCAAATAGGATGGCTCAGGCAGGTTCATCCAGGAATGTGCTGATGCCACAGCTGGGAATATGCAAGGAAAACTGAATACAAAGCACAATCCACCTAGAGTTCCCCAGACAGACCTGCAGGTTTGAAGGCCAGTGAAGCTTTTCAATGGGCTTTGGATCAAGCCCCCCGTGTATGAATGCTGGCAAAACACATGGAGGAAGGAAAGGTGCTAGAGAAAGTAATAATGCCTCTTTGCAAAGTCCTGCTTTATGGCCCAGGATGGGGAGCCAGGAAGGCCTGAGGTCTAATCATAGCTCTGCCACAGACTTGCTGGGCAGAGCCACCAGGGGAAAAGTTTGGGGCCTGTGAAAAACATCTGTGACAATGAGAAAGTTTTCATTTGTTTCAACATTTTCTTGGCTTCCTTTAAAAAAAAAGAGAAGAAATCAAAATGGGGGGAGGGGGCTTTTGGTTGCTGAAAACTGAAAAAAAATAGGGTTTTGGAGTTTCAATTACAACAAATTTTAGGGACAACAGACAGTACCTGTAGAAGTGGCCTTTTTAAAAAAAAAATCAATTTTTTAAAATTGAAAAATGGTTTTGAACAGAAACTTTTAGCATCTACTGTGATCAGCTGTCAATCCCTCTGGCCCAGAGGGCTATCTTGGGAATCCAGCCAGCCTTGTGATCTGTCTGTAGCAGGGCTCAGTTCCTGGGAGGATGCACACAATCCAGAAAGATGCAGTGATCCACTGGGCCTGGAGATCTCCCTAACCTGGATCCATGTCTATAACTAATGCAGGAAGAAACACATTCATTTTGTCAGGAAGGTCAGAAAACGGTGGGCCAAATTCTTCCCTGATATCCACTGATGTAAGGGTGGGATACCAGGACTCATGGCTCCAGGGCAGAGCATGCATCACCTGCTGAGACCTGGATTCTGAGCCGTGGGCTACACTTCAAACTTAGATCAACATAGCTGTGGCATTTAGGGGAGTGAAAAATCCACACCCTGGGGCACCATAGCTATGCCAGCCTAACCCCAGTGTAGATGCAGCTAGGTCGATGGAAGACTGCTTCCGTCGCCCTTGCTACCACCGGACGTGGTGTTCCTGCAACGACGGAAAAACCCTTCGCTCAATGTAGACTGTGTCTACACTGTGGGATTTTGCCAGCATAGCTATGGCACCATAGCAATCCATAGGAAGGCAACCCTCTCCACTAGAGGGTGGCTGTGTGGTCAAGTGGTCCAGGAGGACACTGGTTTAGATGTTCTGCGGACTCTGTGGTGACCTTGGACAAGTCACTCCATTTTCCTGTGCCTGAGTCAGATCCAGCTAGGAAATTGGGTGAGAAGCAGGAACCTCCTTGCTCCCTAGACATGGAGCCTAAGCCCTGCTTCCCTGCAGAAAGAAATTAGGGAGAAAAATAAATCTCCACCCTGACTGAATTGGCCTTGTCAACACTGGTTCTCCACTTGTAAGGTAACTCCCTTCTCTTCATGTGCCAGTTGATTTATACCTGTATCTGTAATTTTCACTCCATGCATCTGAAGAAGTGGGTTTTTTTTACCCACAACAGCTTATGCCCAAATAAATCTGTTAGTCTTAAAAGTGCCACCGGACTCCTCGTTGTTTTTATGTGATAGGGGCAGGCCCAGTGTTTGCTCTGTGCCCCTCTTCAGGGACTGGAAAGATCTAAGCATGGGAGGATCTTCCCTCTGGCACTGGAGGGAGGAATAGTTCCCAGCAGATGTTTCTCTTCCAAGCGCCGTAGGACGCGCAGCCCTGAGCATTCCAAGAGTGCTTCATGGCATTTCTTCGGCTGCCGTCTCCTCCCTAGGGACAGCAGCTGAGCCCTCAGAGCCCTGCATTCGGGATGACGAGAACTCTGTGCTTTGGTGTTTCCCACCAAGTCGTTTGGTGCAGGGCGATGGCTGGGGCCGGGAGCGGGCCAGGAGCTGGGCAGCTCCTTGGAGCCTGTCCCACGAGCTGGGCTTTGTGCGCTCTCCGCGGGAAGCTTTGATTACCATCCAGAAGTGGGGGACGTGCCAGCACGGCTCTGATCTTGGAGAGCAGAACATGCCCCGGGCCTCTTGGTTTGGAAGCAGCAGCAGGAACATACAGCTCATTACTCACTTGACTGGAGTAAACCCACGCAGGCCTGGAGCTAAAAGGAGGCTCCCTCCCCAGATGCCAGTACCCTCCACCGCATGCACCCTGGTTGTTGTTGTAGGGTTGTGCATGAGTGCTGGGGTCATGTACATCTTGGTTTGTTATGCAGTGGTTGATTCTGAGTGCTGGGGCTTCAGACACTGGTTTGTGATTGTAAGGATTCTTAAAAACGGTGATTTGTTATTGTAGGACTGGTTATAAATACTGGGACAGAGCATATCCTGGTTTGTTATTGTAGGGTTGCTTCTGAGCACTGTGCTATTAGTCCTGTTTGAAGGGCAAGGGTAAGCCAGTATTAAAGCATTTCCCTGGAAGACCAACACCCACCTGTGAGAAGTGGCAGGCACTTTGCACTCCACTCCGAGAGTGAAGCAGGGCTCCGACTGTGAGGTCTGCCAAGCACAGCAGTGTCTCCTGAACTGCTCTGGGGGGAAAGCACGGGCGAAAATTAAGCGGATCATCCTCCAAGGAGCTTTGGGAGACAGCTGGGCCCTCTTCACCCCTAGAGCTCACACTCACAGCCTGCAAGCCAGGGCCAGCAGTTTAAATCCCCCATTCCCAGGGGTTGCAGGAGCTGAGAGCGTGTGAGATTTGTGCTCTTTAGACCAAAGCACGGAGGGGAAAGAGTGGGAAAGGGGCTGAGCTGAGCAGCCAGGGAGCACCAGGGATACAAATACCCCTCAGGTCGGCCAGCCACTCCCTTTTTTGTCTCTCTTCATCTTTTCTGTTTGCTCCTCTGTCCTGGGCTCTCTGTGCCGGCCGAGTCTGTTGTCTTTCCTTTTAAACTGGAGGGGTGAACCTCTGTGTGTGTGTGTGTGAGTGCATACATTGGGCACATGCGTGCTGGTGTTTACAGTGTGTGTGTGTGTGGTCCCTTGTTCAGAGACTTCTCTGACCAGAATGGCTGGCTCCCATCTGTGCAGCTGCTGCATTTCTAACCGTTCAGGGAGTAGTGCAGAAAGCATCCATTGGCCCGCAAATCAACCTTTCAGTGCTATACCTGGAGCAGCTTCCAGCACATCGCAATGGTGGGCCGTCAGTGTCTGTATGGCCCCCCGGGACGTGGGGTGGGAGCTGGGACCAGCCAAGGCATCTCCAGTGCAATGCCCAGGGTGACTTCTTGGGGATGAGAACCTCATCACTGCTCTAGTGCCTTCCAGCTCTGCCTAGTCTCACTGCCGGGACCTGCCCACAGCACCAAGGGGAAGGGCAGCACTGCGAATGCCTGGCACATACGCTGAAGCTTTCTGCTGAGTCACCCAGTGCTCATATAGCCTTATGCACACCTAGGAGCCATGCGCTGATACTGGCTGCACTGGGCCCAGTCGCCGGGGGCCTCCCTGGCCATGGACTCTCACACATATCCCATGTGCCAGCACATGTGGGCATTTGCACACACACAAATGTGCACCCAGAATTGTGCGAGCGGGACTGCACAGTGTGTGAGCGCAGGGGTCACTGAAGGGTTCACAGGAATGGTGGAGCTGGGCCTGGAGTGTGTCTGTTGCTCAGCTCACATTACAGACGCTGTCCCTGTTTGCACTGCAGGCTTCCCTCTGGTGTCTGCTTGCTGGGTCTTTAGAGGTGGACTGGGGCACTTGACTAGTTTACAGGACAGGGCAGTGGGAGAAAGGCTAGCACCCCCCAGGGCACTGCAGGGGACCTGGCCTCAGTTTGGAGGCCTGACCTCCCACTGTCTGGACGAGGAGCGGGGTGGCTGCAATGGGCTGGGAGTGTTTTGCAGCACTGGAGGAGTCAGGCCTGACAGGTGTTAGGGGTGCAGAGCAGAGGGAAGGATGCTGCGGGGTGGGGTAGATCGTGTGTATCGGGCACTGTAGCTAACTGTACTAAGGGGTAATTTAGAAGCGAAACTGCCATATTCTGGGTGGGATTGCTGAGGAGCCCCACAGGAGTGTTGTCAGTTTGTGCCTCGCACTCTTTCTCCTGCTGTGTTACACTGACCTTCTCCTGCTGCCCACAGATACTAACAATAACAATGATCATAGAGTTACCAGAACCAGCCCCCTCCCAACTCCTCCAAGCCAGGCTTTTGGGGTCGAGGGGAGGGTTTTGAGAGCCAGAGTCAGCTCTGAATTTTGCAGCTCAGGCCTGGCTCTAATAATCACACTGCATGTTGCCCTTCTTCCAGCCTCTCATCCCGGTGAGCTAGGCCAGTATTAGTTAGCCTTGTTTTACACAGCTCAGCTTTGCTTGGCAATTGTCCGTGAACACGGCTGGAGCTGGCCTGGCTGTGCTCCGCTCCCGGTCAGGACAAGGCTGGCGCTGGGCCTGGCCATGAAAGCCCGTGATCCCAGCAGAGTTCCCGTCCCTTGAAACACCCACTCTCACCATGCATCCACACCAGCTTGGCCTGTGGCCTCTCCAGGCCATAGGGCTGCTATGTCCCAAAAAGCCAAAGAGCTGAGAAGCAGCTCAACTCATGACACTTGTGACTTTCAGCTGGGTTTGCATTGATGTCCTGGCTAGCAAGCCCTGGTGACAAGGCCTTTCCTGGCTGCCTGTTGATCTCCCATTCTCTTTGTCTCTTACAGGCATGGGACGCAGAGGACGCTTGCTGAGTAGTGGAAGCAGTGCACAGCTGACAGCTTTGGCAAAGTCATGACTGAAGGCTGCCTGAAGGGGCTGTCGAGTGACCCATTAAGGGGAGCAGCCTCAGAAATCCAAGCAACTGGCAGCAGGTCAACATGGCCTGTTAGCATAAGCTGATGGTCACTAAGCACCAGCATCTGTCAATGCACGCGCCACCACTTCCAACCACTCTAACTTTCTTGTGACATGTATGTACTCTCACTCTCTCTCTTTCACACACACACACACAAGCACTCACAGATAGGCACATGCACAGATACACACATATTTACCAGTTAATGGACACAATCTTTAGCTTGTGAAATTGCCTCAGACTGGATTCTGTGGTCTTTTGTTTGCACTTTTATAACCTGTCCCTTTGTGTTGCAGAGGGGTATTTACAGGCAGTTAAACAGGTACGTACGAGAACTGGCTCTGAATCAGAATCCCACCTCTGACCCCCTGGTTCTGAGCTTACAGTTGAACCAGAACAGCCCAAAGGCTGGGAAAGGCTTATCCAGTTCTGGGCCCTGGGCTTTTGTTCCAGTCCAGCTCTTGTCTATACGCGATGTGAAATACCCGTGTGGAGAGGCGTCAAGTTTTGCAGCGTAGTAGTGTTATACACAGGTAAGAACTGGGGATGTGGTGTAGGATGATTCTAGCTAATACACACAGTTAGCTGGAATGGCATAGTCCCCCTAAGCCAGTTTTTGGTGCAGGATTGTTAGGTACTAATAGTCCCATGGAACTAGTGTAAATGTTGTATAGAAGGGGCGGTTATTGGGGCAGTATGTACTCTCACACTCAGGTAAGTCTGCACAGTTAGTTATTCACTATATAAGGGGAAGGCTGGCCTCTCTCTATACAGAATACAGGAGAGGGTAGCTTCAGCTTAAGGTCCTTATTTGTGTGTTTTCTTTGGTGCTGTGATAGCTCATCACCTAAAACTCCATCCTCCCCAAACCAGCTTCAGACCTGCCTACTCTGAGCTGGGATCTGCCCCCATCTGCTATTTGCCTTATGTTGTTTGGCTGCATTGTCACTGGCGGGTTTGCAGCTCTGGTGAGTTGACACATTCCCTCACTGCTGTTGCTCATGTTCTGAGTAAAAAATGCCTTTCTCTGCAGATCGGGAGGGTGCATCCCTCACAACGGGCCAGGCCAGGTTCGTATCACAGCACAGAACGAAGGTTTGCTGTGTGGCTCAGCCCAGAAGAGGATGGTCTCTCCATCTGGGGCTGGCTTATTGCCTGTGGGTAGGAGACTCCTGGGATCTCTTTGCGTCAGCATCCTCTCCATGCTAGCCAGGAGGAAAGAGATACTGGGTGAGCATTTTGAAAGTTGGCTGCCTTGTTATCATCCTCTCGGTTCTCCTGGGAGTCTGTGTGCCATTTTCCTTTCATGTGCTGAGCCATCTCTCTCAGCTAGTCCTTTAGTGAGTGCCTCCTGTCTCTCTGACCGCCAGCAGATTGATTTCCAAACATGGCTGCAGCTTGCTGCTCGCTTGCCCAACCAATTCTGGGCCTGGAGATAACGCCACAGCTGGAAATATTTCTAACACCCTGATCTTTCAGGGCTGTGCTTTCAGGTGGCTTGTTCAAACCACTTCAAGGCTGAAACCTGAAAGAGCTGATGTGGTAAGCCAGTCTGCTCTGCTCCTGTCTAGCCCTGGTGACTGCAGAGAAGCCAGGGGCAAAGCTTGCAGCTTGCAATAGGAGAAATGTACCCTGGCCAGGAGAGGGTGTTGTGTTAAGAGGGTTTCTCCCATTTGTGTGATGATCTCTGTGATGTCTGGAAAGGTGTTGATTCCTGTGGCGCAGGTGGAAAAGCTGATCTGAGCCTGTGCGTCTGATACCTGGTCTATGGGCTGTTATAGGTGGGCTGCCTGCAAATAGCTGGGGAAGGCTGGGAGAGCTACTTTCCCAGCTGTTTTTCCGATTCTGTACAAGCCTGGCTTTAATTTTGCTCTTTTCTTTCCCTCAGTGAACCTGGAAACATGGGATTGGTTGGGAGCAGGGGGGTTGGCGCTGGAGAAGGACCAGGACTCTTGGTACCATTGGACGGTCCTGGTTCCTGCTCCGCCCGTTGGAGTTAGCTGTAGAACTGACACCTGGCTTGCACTTTGCTCAGCTCCGTGGAGGCAGCTCCGTTCCTGTGGACTCCAAGCCAGGATCCACGGGTTGGATAGAGGACGTAGAGGAGAGAAGAGGCGCTGCCAGCGCACCGGATGGAAGGAACTCCAGCCTCGAGAGCTGCCATCTGCTTCTTGTCAGGTTGCTGTGCGCGTCCGTTCCTGGCTGCCTGCTGACGGAGGTTGCTGGATCCCAGCATGAGAACGTTGTTATGACAGATGGTCTGTTTACCGCTTTTCATCCCTGCTCAGGATTGCACAGGATGTTAGTGCTTGTCTGCAAAAGACATTTCTGGGTCTGGTCTCTCGCCCTCCCCCACTGTCCTTTTGCTCTCTCCACCCACCTCCTTCTCACCCCCTCTTTTCTCCCCACCTCCAGTGCTCTCTGTTGCTACCATCTATGGTTCTGATCTGTGCACGCAGGCCTCATGGGATTCCTTCCTGAAACACCTCTGCCCACAGTGTAGGCCTCCCCTCCATGCTAGTCAAGCCGCACAAGTGAGCAGATTTTGTTGAGAGTCTCAGCTCCAGGGGCAACAGATGGGATCAGCATTGGCTCCTAAGCCTTCAAGCAGGTGTTGGCCAGCTGTGTGGCCTCTGTCACAATCAAGATGCGCTGTTGCTTCATTCAGGGGTGAGGATCAGAGAGGCTGGTTTGACTTCCTTTAACTCCTTTATGCCTGAGCCGTTCCCAGCTGGCACGTGTCCAGGGATGGGGAACATGCAAGGGAGGGGGTTGAATTGCTAACATTGTATTGGAGACCCAATGCCCTGGCCCTACCACTAGCCAGAGGCATTCTCCCTGCTGCTGACTTTGCAGACATCTCACTGCGAGTTCTGGCTGGAAGGGCCCAATAGCCCAGGGCTCCCATACAGACATCAGTATTGCCCTAGTAACGCCTTCCCTGAGCTCTGCCCTCTGCCCAGGCAACAGCTCCAGCAACACCCCTCCATCCCTCCCCACATCTGCTGCAAATCCTGGGACCCAGAAATCCACCACCGTCTGCTCTCCTGTTCGGTCCAAGGGGCGCAGACTCCTCCCAGTGTCCCTCAGCAGCAGGGACAGTCCGGCTGGCATGCTGGGCGGGCCCTCGGCTAACCCAAGCAGCCCCTGCTGCACGCAGCACTTTGGGAAATGCAATGCAAACAGTTTATGCTGGGATCAGCTCTCCTCATAAACACACTGAGACGCTTCCAATTGCCTAAATAGCCCCCAGGCACAGCTCAGGGCCTGTCCTGCTCTTTGTCCACAGCAGAGGGGCTGATTAATGGGCTTGTTTCCGGAGGAAACCGCAGTCCTGCTTTCCATAGCCCTGCCGACCTGCCCCTCCCCCGCCTCAGCAGGTCTCCCAGGGCCAGCCAGCCATCTGCAGCCGTGTTTAGTGCAGGAGGCATAAATTACATGCCAGCTCAGCTTCAGAGAGACAGGAGCCTCCACTGCCATATAAAGAAAAGGAGTACTTGTGGCACCTTAGAGACTAACCAATTTATTTGAGCATGAGCTTTCGTGAGCTACAGCTCACTTCATAGGATGCATACCGTGGAAACTGCCAACAAGTTTTTTCATGCAGTTGATAGATTTCCACTGCCATATAGGGGACTGAAGAGGCCTGGGAACCTCAGTCAGGCCCTGTTTACTTCCTCTCCTCGCCTTCTGCTCCCATTTCATGGGGGACTGTCTGTCTATGTAGCTATCTCTGGGCTTACCCTGCACCCAGCACCCCAGTATCTGGGCCTCATGGCTCTGTGGCCTTTGTCTGTTCTTTGCTTTTCAAACAGAAGCTCGTGTCCTTTCCCCAGGAGCTCCACTGGCCGGATTGACAGCCCTGGAGCCAAAGGTCCCTGCTTAGCCCCAGAACGTGCCCGGCTACGCAGCAAGTGTCCGCTGCCCACCCCGACCTGGCAGAAGGCACTGCAGTCAGGCCCATTCAGCCTCTCTGCTGCAGCTGCCAACAAGGGGTCAGTCAGGTCGTTCACGGTGGCCGTTCCATGGGGAAGTGAACTCAGATCTAGCCAAGGCCATTCCAAGTCAAGGCCTCCAGCCAGCCTGCACTGGGAAGAGCAGCATCTGGAGCAGTGAGCGGATAACCCCCATGAAGTGCTTGGAATGTGCTGGTACAAGGCCTCTGTGAACCCTGGGTTTCTCTGGAGCCCTCCCCCCTGAGGAGTATGCCAGCCTCACCCTGTGCTGGGGTAATGGCAATGTATTCTCCCCCCACCCCCAGCATCTGTACATCGTTGTGGGTCACCCCAGGCTCTTGTGAGCTCCTTAAAACCCTGGCTGTCCAACTCCATACCGCTCACGTCTCTCATGCATGGGTGCCTGCCACACTGACTCAACTCCCCAGCTCCTCTCCCAGCCTGCTCTGGGCTCCGCATAAAACCCAGATTGGCTCTTTGCAGGCGGCCTCATCCCATGTTTCATTAGCTGCTCCTACCCCAAACAGCCCTTTCCCTGCCCTTGGCCGTACAGCTCCTTCCGCTGACCCATGGCTGCTGCTGCACCTTCGCCCCGCTCTGCCCGAAATCCCAGCGGGAACCGCGCCATGTCACAGCTGACACACTCTGTGATCAGGGCGCGTGACAGCAGGTGGGGGCTGGAGACAGACCCACGGTGCCTGAGACACACATATATACACCCATCCTAAATCAGCTATACCCAGTCACACACACTCACAGAGACACAGCTCTCTCTCTCTCTCCCTCTCCCCCCCGCCACATGTCTGTGCGAGGCAACGCTGGATGGCTACAGATGGAGATCCATCAATGTCTCCCAGCCCAAGGTGCAGTGCTGCATCTCTGGTCAGTTGTGAGTCTGAGATGAAGCACTGTAGCTCGGGAAGGGAGGAACTGTGCAGCAGAGGACATGCATCCGTTCAACAGGCCGCACGGGAGCCCAGGCCAGCAGGACTTATGGCTCCAGGCAGCAGCTTCTCTTGATGGGCAGCAAGAAGGGAAGACTCGCCACTTGGGTTCAGACCGAAGGAGTGGCATAGGGTGTGAACTGGGGAGACAAACCCCCTGGCCACCTGAGGCTCAGCGCAGAGGTAGAGGGGAAGGTCTCTCGCACCAACCAGGCCACAGGGTGGTCTTCTGGTTCCAGGCAGGGGGTGGGAAGGTTAGGAGGGATTTTCAGGAAGCCTGTTATCAAGGCGGCCTCTAGTTGCCCTGCAGTTGCCTTCATTGCTGGCTCTCTGTCCCAGTCTCCCCGCTGAACCCTAGGGTTGGGTTTCAAAGAGCTCTGGGTGTGCACGTGTGCATGCACCTATGTGGATCTGTCAGCACAGTGAGTATGCATGTGCCGGCCATGCTAATTCCCTCCCCTTCCATGGGCAGAGTGTGGCTTGCCTATCCCAGCTGCACTTTGGGAACGTTCCCTAACGCTCGGCAAGGAGCCCGGAGCAGAGAGGAGCTCTGGGGAATGACCCTCGCCCATTACAAGAGCTCAGATCTGTTAGGCCTGGGCAGGAGATGTTGGGGGAGACGGACTCCATGGCAGTAGAGCCCCCCAGGGCTGGCCATTTGAGGATCCTATGTCGCAGAGTGCTTATCTCGAGCTGTAAGGCAGAGAGACATGCATGGGGTTGCAGGAGGTATAAGGAAGTGGCACACCCCAAATAGTGGGCTGGAACTTCATAGTTAGTGCCTGTGGGCTTGTGCTGCACCCCCCTCCAAAGTCCCCTGGGAATGCAAGGCATGTTAAGGGGGATTCATCTTCCACAGTGGGAGTAAATTGGCTAAAGGAATGAAGGGGGGGGCTGACAGGGGTCAGTGCAGGGAGGTCACAAGCTGGGTTTAGACACCTGTGCAGCACTCCCTCAGGGTGGCACCTGGCGCTGTGGATGGCTAAAGGATGCTCATGTACTGGGGACGGCGGAAACCACACTTTCTCTCCCCGCCGTGTCCTCAGGGTCCAGTTTTCCCAGGAATCCCTTAGGCACTATGACGGGGATTCCTGGAAATACTGTTCTTGAGGCCATGGCTCAGCAGCTGGAGAAGACCTGCCCCCTTCCGATGCAGAGCCCTCCAGAAGTCAGCGGAGCTGGAGAGCAAGGTTTGGAAGCACGTCTGGGGATTCGCTTCTGGCAATTCCAGGCTGAGAGGAAGGGAGGATGGGAGGGCGGAGCCCTCCAGCGCTGTCATGCCATGGCCATGCTGGGTGTGAGGGGGGGGGTGTGAGCCCTGGTTTAACTCACCCCAGGTCCTCCAGACCAAGGTACAAGGCCCAAGCTCAGCCAAGTGCATAGGAGCTATTGCACCCCCCAAGACCATAACTCAGTGCAGTGCAAAGCAATCTAGGGGACCACCAGCAGGCCCGGAAGCTGCCCTATGTGCTGGGATCCTGCAGGAACGGAGCCTCTTCCTTTATTAGCTCAGAGCTGGGAGTCACCGCTTCCCTTTGTATCTCCCAATCACCCCACTCCCTGGTGTGCTGCCATCAGGGCTGTGGGGTGAGTCGCACATGAGTAAACGCCTCCCTGGGGTCCTGGGTGTGTTACTTGGCCGCTGCTGTGTAAATAAAGATCTGGGTTCATCACGCAACTTGTCTGTGGCTGGTTTTTTTGTGGGGCGAAGGGAAGTCATGCCCCACCATCAGCAAGTACAAACAGGGCAGCATGGGGCAATCAACTCCACAGATCGCCACCCACTGCAGCCTCTGCCCCTCCTAGGCAAGGAGCAGCTCAGCGAGCTAGCTCTTTGGTTCCGTACCTAGGGCTGGTCACCACCTAGTGCCACAAGGCCCTTGCCTAGTTACGTTCCTGGTACTACCCCAATAGACGTGTTAAATCACACTAACTGAAGCCCCCACAGGGGTGCCTTCCATAAGGCTGTGCAGCGAGCCTGGGATAGGCCCCGGAACCTGAATCCCCAGTGCAGGGGCCTCGCCTCATTCCCCGTGACTCCTCTCCATTTGCCTGTCACCACCACACCACGCCTTGGTCATCTTCACACCTGGAGGAGGCACTGATGGTAATTCCACATGCCAGGGAATCACCAGCTTTGATGTGACTGGAGCTCTCTGATAGCCTGTTAATGACTTCTTCCTCCGCCCACCCATGGCGCATGCCCCATAAGCCATCCTACCCCTGCAGTAGGATGGCTGGTCTCGTCTTCTGCCCGCCCGCCACTAGGGCCTTCACTGGGAGCGTGAGTCTCTCACGCCACCTCCAGCTCTTGTGATTGCCCCAAGCACATGCCCCTGCAGTACCGCCACCCCGGCGTGCACCCACTTTCTGCTCCAGTGCAAAGGCTGTAAGTGCTCTGGGCATTTCTCTGCAAGCCCTCCCTTCCCTGCCAGTCTGGGCCCAGTGCTCTGGCCTACTTTAGCCATCATGCCCACACCCCCCCTTGGACCTGCAGCCGGCTGGCAACAGCAAATACAAACCTGCCGACTGCAGCGTTGTGGTGCAAAGACTGAGCCACAAGCACCACCTTCTGGCTTGAGGTGGTACTGTCTAGGCCATAAGGCACCCCGCAGTAACAGGACTCTGCCTAGGCCAGTGATGGATGTTCAGTGAACCTCACTGCAGTGCAGGGGTCAGGAGTGGTGCAGGGACAGTGAGGCTGTGGGGTGCCCAGTCACACTTATGATGCGCCTCTTCTGCAGTCTGCTCACTAAGCTGCCTGCCTTGGGGCTACTCCAACAGCCCAGGCCTCTTCAAACCGCTGCCACCTGCCAGAGGAAACCATTTCCTGCTTTCCCTACAAAACTCTCCCCAGGCCTGAGGCCCAGGATGGGCAATAGAGAGCCCTGCCACAGTGATAGGCTCAAGGCCTACTAACCCTCCAGGGCTAGACACAGGTGCTTTAGCTTGATTCCCAGCGGGACACTCTGTATGCATGTCTAGGCCTGAAGGGTTTGGGCTACTGCACTCAAAAGCCACATTCGGTCATTTTTAGAGTGGGATTGCAATCGCCACACAGGCTATGCAATTGGGTTCCTGCTGCTGAGGGTGAGGTCAATGAGAGGGACAGGTGACGTAGTTCAAATCCCGCTCTTCTCAGAAAATGACATGGATTGGGAGGTGCCCGCATCCACATTCATCTCTGCTCTGCAGAGCACCAGGAGCCTGGCACCTCCGGAGAGCTGTGTAAAGGTAGACACACGACCAGCAGATGGCGTTGCAAGTCAGGCTCATAGCCCAGCATTCGCCAAGCAAGGCTTCCTATGGTTCAGGATTGAGGGGCAGTAGCAGAGTGGGGTGACCCAGGATGGGAATAGCAGGGTGTGGGATGTGGGATCAGGCCTAGGAGATTAGCATAGTTTTGTGGGGAGCTCAGGATGTGACTAGCCTTGGGATGGGGGTGGGCTGCAGGTCCGGCTTGAGGGGCCTCATTGCATGCAAATATGCTGGTGCATGTGAAACACGTACCAAAGGTGCTTTCTGACTGGGAGCTCCAGCTGAAAAAAACCAGTTGCCCTTGAACAGTCAGTTCCCCAGCACCCATGTTCTCCCTCTAATGAGGAAAAGCCACCAGGTGCTGCTCGAATGACCCCCCTGAATGTCAGCACAACAACCGGCTTTGCAGCTCTGGGAGGAGGAGCCAATCATCATCAGCATCTCCCTCCCCACCACTCCTGCACAGGCCCTCTCTCTCTGTCAGATCCCAGGGGGTCCCAGGCCCTCACGTCCTTTGGGCTACTCACCTGGCTACACCGGGCATATCTGGGAGCCTGGGTGAAGGCAGGACCCTGTGTGAAAAGCAGCCACTGGTCTGAGCTGAACTTGCTCTGGAGAAGGGAAGGGAGGGAGAGGCATGCTGGAGAGTGGGACAAGGAGGGGGACACAGCCCAGGCCTGTTCCTGCCAAGGGGAAAGGGCTCAGGCACCAGCAGCTCTCAGGAATGGGTGCATGGAAAGGTCAATCTGAGCCATTTCAGTTCAGGTGAAGGAGTGACCGGAGCAGACCCATGTTCCAGTCTGCCAAGCCCATTGGGATCTCGCTTTCCTGCCACCCCAACACTCCAGAGCCCCCCCAGATAGCTGCCCAAGGATCCTTCTCTTGTGCTGGCTGAATCCCCCGGTCCCTGGCTTCCCATCCACACCTTTGAAGCTCTGTGATGCCAGCCTCGGCTGGCACCCCACCCAGCTCGCTATGCTCTTCCTGAGCCCCCGGCCTCAAGCTCCCCTTGGCTCCTTGACCCCTGCGGCCTGGCGCGGCTGTTACCTGGCAGCCGGAGAGGCAGACTCTGCACTGTACTGGAGTAACACACAGCAAATCTCTTCCCCCTCAGCCCTGGGCTGTGTCGCACTGTAGGGTGGGGGGTGGAGTAGCTGCTGTGGAGCCCAGAGCTGTTTGCGGGAGCAGGCTGGGGTGAGGCATCGCACTGACGCAGAGCAGCTGCAAGCAACACGTCTATGTCACTAGCCCCCACCCCTTCCCGCCCAGCTATGGGTGAAACAGGCAGGGAGCCCAGCCCAGCTCCGCCTGCATGGCTCAGCACTGAGGCGCCAGGGGCCACAAAGGGAATTTCCTTGGGACAGTCCCAGATGTGAAGGGTGCAGGGCATAGAGAGCTCCCCCTTCCCCCAAGTTGTACCGGAAATGGTCACAGAGGGCTCCCTGCTGCCAGCTTTCTCAGAGCCGAGCCGAGCCAGACTCCCTGCCAGCATCAGGCAACAAGCACTGGCAGCTGAGCCCTGGGGTCTCTCACACAGGCATAGGCCTTGCCAGCTGGCTCTTTCCGCCTGGAAGAAGAACATTGGGCCGGACTAAACCTAGCAGTGCCGAAGGGTGGGTAGATAGCTAAACGGATGCTGCGCTGATTGGATAGGACCTAGCTGACTATTATTAAAACAAAACTCTTGATGTCCCTGTTTGCTGTCAAAAACCAGCCCCACAATGTCTCTTACCCACAGTGCCCAGGCCCTTGCCTAGCCCACGGTCTTGGCTCCAGGCCATGACCCCTTGAAGCTCAAACCGACATTACCCCAGGAAGATGTTAAGGGGGCAGGACTTTTGGGGCACCCCAAGTGCCTGAGTTCTCCAGCCAGGCCCCCCACCTTGCGTTTCTCTGGCTGGGCCCCACGCTGGGGGGAGCAGAGAGGTTCTGGGTTAGTGTGTGGGAAGGGGGTCCCAGTGCTGTCTGGAGCAAGTAGCCCTGCCACCCACATCCACCCCAGCTGGCCATGGGAGCTGCAGGAGGCCTCGTGACTCATGCTGCCTGCCTTTCCCCACCAGAGGGCAGCGGCAAGACTGTACTGGGCTCCTCCATCTCCTCAAGCCCCAGGGGGCTGATGCCTGACTCACTGGGGAGGGGCGTCTCCAGGTGATTCATGGCCAGGAAATGCTTCCTTAGCGCAGCCCTCTGGGCCACGCATCGCATCGCCCCATGCCAGCTGCCTGCTGCGCTGATTCCCAGGGCCCAGGTGCCGGGCCTTGCCCATGGCGCATTTGCTCCACCTAATGGTGGTCAGTGCCTCCCCTCTCCCGCTTCCAGGCTGCTGCCTTTCCCCACCAGAGGGCAGCGGCAAGACTGTACTGGGCTCCTCCATCTCCTCAAGCCCCAGGGGGCTGATGCCTGACTCACTGGGGAGGGGCGTCTCCAGGTGATTCATGGCCAGGAAATGCTTCCTTAGCGCAGCCCTCTGGGCCACGCATCGCATCGCCCCATGCCAGCTGCCTGCTGCGCTGATTCCCAGGGCCCAGGTGCCGGGCCTTGCCCATGGCGCATTTGCTCCACCTAATGGTGGTCAGTGCCTCCCCTCTCCCGCTTCCAGGCTGCTGCAGGGCGACCAGCGGGGGTCTGCACTGCTCCGGAGCCGGCCGGGGTTTGGCTGGGATGGGGTGCACCGTGAGAACCGTATCAGCTGTCACTGCCAAGCGGATCCCAGCCAGCCGCCGGCCCCACTCAGGGGAGGGGAACCTGCCCTCTCCGTGAGCGCTGCCAGCTGCTCTGGGCACTGCCTGGCAGGTTTCCTTCACCAGCGGGCCCCGGTCCTAGGAGGCACATAAAGAGTTAGCTCTGCAGGGCTCACAGCACGGAGAAGGAGTGTGGGCTATCTGGGTGACCCCTGCCGGGCTGTCACTGAGGAAGCAGCCCTCGGTGCTTCCTGCCTCGTGGCAGTGGGCCCCTCCACGCTTCCACCCCCAGGAATACATGGTGCATGCAGGCCCCTTGGTGTGCCCGCCCAGCGCAACCCAGTGCCCATGCCTCTCAGTGCTCCCAGCACCTGCCTGCCCCACAGCGCAAAATTCCCCATTCAATGGCCCTTCCTGGCTCAGGGAGCCAGAGCAGATCTGATCATTGTTGTGACCTGGGAGGCAGCTGAAGGGAAGCAGAATGGGAGGAGCTCAGTTCCTGTTACTGTCTGTCAGGGGATACAAGTGACAGAGAGGCTAAGAATAGCCCTGAATCTCAGCCACCGTGCACCACTGGCTTGCCTGGGAAGCTGCAGAGCGAGGGGCTGGGGGTGGCTGGGCAAGGACTGGAGGCATGGGTGGCTGTTGGGGCTGTGTCTGGGGGGCGAGGGGGGGGAGTTTGAGAGCGATAGAGCGCGGTCACTTGACACAGGCCGTGGCATAAAGTATAGGGA